AGACAAAAATTTTAAAAGTTATGCCTTGGGGCTAGATCGATGGTTCAGCGGTTAAGAGCACTGACTGCTCTTCCAGAGGTCCCGAGTTCAATTCCCAGCAACCACATGGTGGCTCACAACCATCTGTAATGGGATCCGATATCCATTTTCTGGCTCTCTGAAGAGAGCGACAGTGTATTCACATACATAAAATAAATAATAAATACATCTTACCAAAAACAAAAAAACAAAAACTCCTGCTGCTTTTTAAAAAAGAAAAGTCATGCCTATACAGAACAGTATACTGTTCAACTACTGATACAGAGATTAGCCAAGCCTCTAAAACGAATCTACAAGAAAGACATGTAAGTCATATGCAAATGCTGATTGCTCAGCTGACCCAGAACAAGAGATCCATCTGGCTCTCATAGTTTTATATGAGGGGCCTGAACAAACACAGACTTCTGTACCACAGACGAAGAGCCACACCATGATCAGGTGATCACTTCCCCAGAAACACAAACCAAGAGAGGTCGGAGAGGTGGCTCAGTGGTTAAGAGCATTCTTAACCACTGCTCCTGTGGAAGACCTGGGTTCAGTTCCCAGCACTGACATGCTGTTCACAATCCCTTCAAACCCAAGGTCCAAGGGATCCACTGCCCTCTCGCCTTGAAGGGCAGCACCACACACACAAGGCGGTACACAGACATCTGTGCAGTTAAAACACCCATAAGCATAAAACAAAATAGCTTTTTTTTAAAAAAGAAAGAAAATTAAAAAGAAAAAACTGAAAGTGGGAGCTGGGTGGGGTGGCTCAGGACTAAGGCCTTGGTATCACAGCAAGCTCTGTCAGCCTGTGCTACGTGAGACTGTCTCAAAAACAAAAAGTAAAATAAGTAAAATATACCTGCGACCCCAGGACGTAGGAGACAGAGCAAGGTGGATCTCTGTGAATTAAAGGCCAACCTGGTCTACATAGCCAGCCAGGGCCATATGGTGAAACCCTTTTACACACACACACACACACACACACACGCAGAAATAAAATAAACTCCCCCCAAACAAAATAAAATCCCTCAAAACAAACAACAAAACAAACAAATAAGCCAAGACCCAAAAGGCTACACAAGCTATAGTTAAGGTTAATCAGTGGCCTTTAAAACCTTGTCATAATTTCGATTCCAGGGTTGTCACCCCCATCCTTTCATTATGTGGCATTCCGAGGGGAAGGGTCCCAGTAAAAACTTTATCCAGTAGGGATTTAAAAAAAAACAAAAAACAAACAAACAAAAAACAAAACAAAACAAAAAAATCCTACCTCCCTAAACTTGTTCAGAAGCAAACCAAAAAATAAAAAACACAAAACCGGGAACTTGCCCGGTCATTTGTGTAAGTGTAATTAGGACAATAACTATATAATTAACTCTGCATCTGTCAGTCTCGTCTGCTGACCACCCCTCCCCCCCTCAAGAACGAGAACTCCAGGAAGCCGACAATTACTCCACTCACAGAAGCCCAGCCCAACAGCTGACACTTGGTAGCCTATTGGTAAATTCGAAAGGGAAAAAATCTGAATACAAGAGGTCTAAGGCTAAATACCGGAAGAGAAGAAAAAAAAAAAAAAACAAAAAAAAAAAAAATGCCAAACCAAACAAAAACAAAACAAAATCCCATCCAGGGACTCCCCAAGTCTCTCGACCCAACCTGCACACTCTCACCTGTCCGTTGCTAGGTTTGGACATGGTTTTCCGGGCTCGGTGTACTTTGGGCTGCCCCTCCTGGCCCGCAGTTGTTGCCGGAGGGGGTTCAGGCCCAGCAGTTGCAGCTCCCTGGGCCCCAGGCATGCTCAACAGCCTCATGGCCAAACTCTGGACCGAGGGGGGCGACTTTCCTGCCCCTGTCATTGACATCTTGGCCCGACTGGGGCAGGCACCCCCCTTGCTGGGGGAAGAGGGGAACGACTTTGTGGCATGGCCTAGAAAAGAGACAGGCAGACGGGGGCGCAGGGTAAGCGGGCATGCAGAAGGCCCCCTTACGCCCCCTCTCCCTCGCTCCCCGGCCTCTCACCCAGCAGGATCCGACCCCCATCTCCCTCCAGGCTCTCGGGTTCGTCCCCGATGAGCGGTGTGGCCCCGACAGGGGTGTCAGCCCCCTCATCGCCGACGGTGACAGTGACAGAGGCCGGAGAGGAGGGTCCGGCAGGCTCCAAAGAGTCGGGGTTAGCCTTGGGAAGGGTCTCCTCGCTATGAGGGGTGTCCCCCAAAGAGCCGTGAACTGTCGTGGGGTGGAGAGTGGGAGGGGGAGAAAGAAAAAGTTCAGGGCTGAAAGCTCCCGAGATCGCGTGTTGGGGGTGGGGAGGGTGGAGGTCCGGTCGGGCCTGCTCCGGCCGCACTCACCTCTCTCGGCCGCTCCTCGGGGCTCCTTCTCCAGCAGCAGCGCCCCCATCTCCGCGGGGGGCTCCCCCTGGGACGGGACACAAGGGACCGGAGGGCCCGTCAGCCCCGCAGGCAGCTGGGGGGCCCAGGACGCCTGGGCCCTGGGCAACGAGAGCAGGCTTCGGGGCCTACCCCGTCCTCGGTGGGCGCCCCCCCGACCGCGGCCGCGGCCGCCCGTGGGGGCCGCACGCCCCCGCCCCCGGGCCCGCATCAGCCCCCTCCCTCTCGGCAGACCCCGCATCTCTGGGGCCGGGAGCAGAGGAGGGGGAGGGGGCGGGGCCTCCGCGCCCCGGCCCCGCCCCCTCCTCCCGGCTGCACGCGCCGCTCCCCCTTTGTCCCCCAGGCCGCGGGGACCCCGGCCACCAACCCCTGCAACGCCCGCTGCGCCCCAGCCCGGCGGACGGCCCCTCGCGCCCCTCGCGCGTGCTCCCGGGGTCGCGGTGCCCACCGCCCACGCAGGGGCGGCGGGCGGCGGCACGTGCGCCTCGGCGCCCACTCCCCCCCCCTCCCCCCCCCCGGTCCCCCCATCCGCCCCCGGGGTTGGCCCCCTGGTTTGCTGCAAGTTCGGCTCGGGCCCCCCGGCCCCGTTGCACCCCCGGAGCATTGCACGAGCGCGCGCTTCCCCCGGGCGCGCGCGCGGGCATGCACCCGCCTCTCCCCCTCCCCTTCCGCACCTCGGCGGCCGCCGCCGCAGCAGCTCCCGCCGCCGCCGCCATCGCCGCTTGCGCGGGGGGCCGAGCCGGCGCGCGGCCGCCCCGGGTCACGTGGACAAGGAGGGAGGGCGACAAGACGCCTTAAAGGAGCCGCTGCGGGCCTTTGGGCCATTTTTGCCCCCCAGAATGGCCCTGGAGGTGCAGAACTGGGGGCTGTGGGGGAGAGGGCCTTCGCTCCAAGCCTCGGCTCCGCCGGGAGCCAAGGGCGAGGCCCGACTGGGCTGTGGCTTCCCTGTCCCCGCCCGGTTTTGGTAACACGTGTAGCCTGAGCCTCTGCAGCTGCCGCGTGTATCTTTCGAGTTCTGAGCCGCCAGATAGAAGGCTGGGTCTTAGTTTTAGATTCTAGTGCACAAGAAGGGGCGACAGAGACTCGTGGAAGACACCTTTACTTCTGGGTCAGTGTGCTTTTGAGAATCTGGGGGGGGAAATGTCTTCTAGATGCCACTAGAGTTGCCAACTGGATGCAGCGGAGGCCACAAGGGCGACCACAGTCTACTGACAGTAACTATTTCTACCCAAACACTTCTCCATCGGGGGTCATGGTCCCGCTGACAGCTTAAATGTGAATAGTAGACAGAGCAAGGATACAGCCCTGAACAGGATCGAGGGCACCATCCCCCTCCAGGCATTAAGTTCTGGCCTAAGTTTGAAAATGCCTGTATGGTTGCACACACAATATTGGACAAACAGGTACTTATGTTACTGGGCCCGAGGCCAATTCGGCGTCTTATGGGAACTGTAGTCTTCTTTGGATTTAAAAAAAACTTTTCAGAGCTTTCTGGGAATTGTAGTCTTCTAGGTAATCGAATTTAAGTTTCGCTGGTATTTCAACTTTCCTTAAAACTCGAACAAAAATACTCAACAGATGCCTGCTTGCCATCTCTGTGGGCTCACTGGCCACCTGTGGTCCATGGCTTGGACTGCCACCAAACCCCCTAAGGTCTATGCCAGCACCAGGGCTGCCAGTCAATTTTGCGATAAGGTTTCTGCCTAGGTGTTTAGGGCGTGTTCCTAGTTTCTGCTTGAAGCTGGGCTCCTTTTGGCATGGGACTGCAGTTGTTAACACTGGGAGAATCTATGGTGGGTAGTCACACACATGCGGTTGCCAGAATATAAAGAAATTTTGTCTTTTTTGTTTATTTTTGTGGAAAACAAAGAAAAACTAAAACCCCAAACTCCAGAAAAAATCCTAAAAAATACGTTTTCTTAAAAAATACTGTATAAGTCTCTACTCCTCTCCCTCCCCCAACGGCCCTCCTTGTGTCCTTTTTCCTAAGTGCCCTGCCCCCCACCCCTCCGCTACTCACTGCTCTCCCTACTGTACCCTAATGTATCATTACCTACCCAGGTTGCCCACCCTGTTCTCTTACCTGGCACATAAGCATTTTTCTTTCATTTCCGGTGAGCCTTGTACCTACTTTCCCACTTCCCCAGCATGCAAGAATTGCCTCCCCTTCTTTTTCTGGGACTTCATACATGTGTCGCCCTCCACTCCCTTCTCCCTGTGATCTATTCTAACCAGGAGCAAGTAAGCTGCATCCTGGCAATCCCCCCACAACTCCCACCCCCACCCCACCTCAAGAAACGCTAGAATCCTCCTCCGAGGCAGCTTTAAGCTTTAGCCAGGAAAGAGCTGTTCTCCAAAACTTTCATCTTTGCTTTTTCTGCCCCCCTTCCTCCACATCGTTTGTGCACTTCTTCAAAAAAAGAAATCTTACTTTGGGACCCCCACATTCCCTCAGCCTTGTCAACCCTGTCTCCGGCTCCATCTTTTTCTTCCGCTCTTTGAGGCAAGGTCTCTCTCCAATCTTCCTTCCCCAAAATATATGCCTGCCCCAGAACCCCTCCCCTCCCCAATCCTGCCGGGCCCAGGAACCCCCCAGCCTCTTGGCCCTTCAGCGGATGAGGACATTGATCTCGGCCACACCGGCTTCCAGCACGTTCTCAGCTGTGGTTTTGCCATGCTGCTCCTTGAGGTGCCGCCTGATGGCAGGCTTGTGGGCAAAGCGCACGTCACAGTAGGAGCATCGGTAGGGCCGGGCTCCTGAGTGCAGGTTGAGGTGATCGTGCAGCGTGGACTTCTGAGTAAAGCACTTGCCGCAGATGCCACACGAGTGTGACTTGACACCACGGTGGACGTTCATGTGGCGGTTGAGGTTGCTGCTGTGGTTGAACTGCTTGCCGCAGCGCGGGCACATAAAGATGAAGTGTTGTGCACGCATGTGGAAGACCAGCTTCTCCACACCCTGGAACACTTCCGGGCATTTGGTGCATTTGATGTTCTTTAAGGGGTTCCCACTTGAGAAGCCCCCAGGCAGAGGTCCCCGGCTGCCCCCTGCCCCCAGACTGCCCCCCGCCCCCCGGGCAGCCATGGCCACCGCTGCTGCTTCCACTAGGCCCGAGGTGGCCCCCACACTGGCCCGGCCTCCTGGGATCAACAACAGGCCTTCCCCTTCTGCGTCCTCTGACAGGCTGTAGCAGGCCTTCACCACACCTTGTGGTGGGGCGACAGCGTTGGGGGCCATGCTACTCTGGGCCAGCTCTCCCAGGTGGCTGCTCACAGAGGCCCCGATGCCCAGACCCCCTGCCAGGCCTCCAGGGGGTTTGAGCCGGTGTGCCACTTCGAGGGCAGACTCCACCTTGACGATGCAGATGTCGGAAACATCCTCGTCCTCATCCTCGTCCTCCTCTTCCGCCTTCAGCTCCAGGTCCTCGTCCAGTGGAAACTCCAGTTTCACAGGTCGCAGGAGCGGAGGGGGTAGAGGAGGTGGCGGTGGTGGTTTTGGAGCTGGTTTTGGGGTCCTGGCTGGAGGGAGGAGGGACTTGGTGGCACTGACACTGCTCATGAGGCTAGCCTCGCTGACCCCATCTTCTTTAAGGCCTATTTTGGGCTCAATGAACTGGCTGAGGGCGTTTCGGCATTTCTCCACCACATGCTCCATTTGCAGGTAGGAGGCCGCTGTCAGGTAGTTGACGATGTCCCTGACTGCGAACTCCAGAGCACCCGTGTAGCAAGAGAGGAGCAAGTCCGCCACAATGCGCGCACTATGCATCAGTGAGACCTGCAGCTCAGAACTGGGGTTCAGCAAGAACTGGTCCCGGAGGAACGGTGAGCAGGCGGCCAGGATGACCTTGTGGCCACGGAATTTGAGGCTGTCGGCCACGATGGTCACATCGCAGAACCGCTCCTCTGCACGGAGCTGGTTCATGTTCCGCAACGTTGCGGCCTCGTGGCCAGGCAGCTGGAAGCGCAGGACTTCCACCCCAGAGGCCATTGTGGCGGGAGTGGACTGCCCTGGGTGGGAAGGAAACGGGTCAGAGACAAAGGTCTCTGGCTGTCGGAGGCCAAGGCTCCAGATCCCTCATCCCTACCTCCCTAGTCTTGGCGCGCCTCCCTCAGTTTCCCCAATTCCAAGGAGGCGCGGTCCCTCCGAGGAGGGAGGCGTGGTTCCCGGGGGCGGGGCAGCGGCGTCCACACCCCCCAGTCCCGCAGCCCGCGCGCCCATGGGAGAATGGATAAAGGGGTGGGTGGGTAGGGGGAAAAAAAGACCCAGAGGATTGCAACTCCGGAGTGGCCTCTGGTTGCAGGCTCTCCTCACCCGCCTCGCTCTAGCCTGGGCCGCGCTGCTGGGAGTCCCCCTTTTCACATCCTCCCACCGCCCGGACAGGTCGTGCACGCCCCCCTCCCACGCGCAGATCTCCGTGGCACGCCCCCCCCCACCCACCCAGACTCACGACCCTGGGTGCACGCGCCTCTCACCTGGCCCGGTTCCGCGTGCTGATTTTTCCCCCCTGGTCCCCCACCCCCCCGGGGCCAGCGACGCCCCCCACACTCGGGCAGGGCTGGGGCAGCGCGCAGGCGCGGGGGTGCACGGGGCGCGCGCGCGGGCCGGCTCCGCGTGGGCGGGAGGGGGAGGGGCGGGGGCAGCTCGCGCCGAGTGTTCCAAGGCCCCGCGCTGCGCAGCGTCCTCGCGGACTCGGGGCGGAGGAAGAGGGGAGGGAATTAAAGGAGCAGGATTCCCCCTCCCCGATCCCCCTTTTCTCCCCCGGCACCCCCACGCGGTTAAAGGGCTGGACAGTCGTGCCTCCCCTTTGGCCAGGATTATTTGTCCGCCAGAGCGGAAATACGCTCCACACCCCCCCCTCTATTTCACGCTCCCCCTCCTCTCTGCCTCTGGGGCCCGCGGCCCGTCTGCGCGTGCGTGCCAAGGCCCGCGCGCTCGGCCCCGCCCCCGGCTCCTGGCGGTCCCCTCCCTGCCCCGCGCGTCCCCGCTAGCCCCGCCTGCCCCGCGCCCCCCAGCGCGCGCGCTCCCCGGGAGCTGCGCAGTCTGCGCGGCCACCTGCTCTCCGGCAAGGCGTCGCTCCCGCCCCGCTGTGCGGAGTCGGGCCACCTCCCAGAGCCTCCGACCTCCTGGTGGCCTACTGATCTTCGGATCACCGCTGCCCACGGGTGCATCCTCTTGTGAATAGGTGCACAGTTCCTCAGGCCACACTTCCAGACTCTTCCAAGTCTTCTGAAGCTGGTGTCCACTGTAGTCCTCCTGATCTAAAAGATCATTTCACGTTCCACAAAGCCTGGTGAACCAGCGCTCCCAGCTCGCCCGGCTTAGCGCACACAGTAACTTAAATCACACTCGTCCTCTCTTCTATTTCATTTGTTCCTACTTCTTGCCAAGGCCAAGAACGCCACTCATAAAGTGGAAGATTAGCGGGTTTCACCTCCGCTGCGTAATTAACGCTGGGACTAATCCTGTAAATTGTGCAATTATTTATAGTGGTACTAATGTATCATCTTTAATCTTTTCCTGCATCCACTCCTTCCTTCCGTTCCACAGCCTCATAAGAGAGGTGCTCCCCGGCCTTAGATACCCGCTCTATTCTGCGCCTGGCCTTCCTCGCCACTTCAAAACTGCCTTCTCCACAACTTGAATGTGAATACTTGTCTTGAAGGCTAAGCCCCCAGCGCTTCTGTGCACCCCAAATACCTACACTGGCTTTAAAGAATAAAGTCCTCAGGGAGATGCCGCGCTGTTGCCGGCAGGTTACGTTTGTTTATTACAACCTCCAGGAAGCTTCTGAGTCCTCAGGATGCTAAACTGCTTGCTACCCAATGTATTCGATATCTGTTTTCCCCCCAAAGACTGTAACTTCTTGAATACAGGAATTAAGTTATGGGCTGTGTTTTGCAAATAAAAGTCAGACAATAAATGGCAGGGTGTTGAAGTCATTGGCTTTCAGCTGGACCAGCATCTGCCCATACAAAGTTCATTCCTGATTGAACAGAATACTAACACCCAAGGGATGCTGTTCCCGGAGGAGGTGCAGAGGGCCCTGATATCACACCTTAGCTGTGGGATGATGTTCCCGGAGGAAGTGCAGAGGGCCAAGACACTGTAACTTAGCTGTGATCTTCCGTTTTCCTTTTAAAATTCTGACTTTTGTACCCTGACCCGGCTCACTCTGTGGTCAGGTCATGTGGATTTTAGGTAGGCCATTGTGTCTGGTACACCTTGTTCGAAGCCATATTCGCTGTCTACTGCACAAGAGAGAGGCCTTTGGTAAATCAATTCTCTAAATCATGGTGTCTTTATCTTTGAACTCAAAGTCCTGAATGCTCTCCAGGCTGATAGAGGGTTCTTGGGAACCTCATATACACTAAACAGGCACACACTGGATCTGTGGTAATACTGGGTTTTTTTGTTTTTTTGTTTTTTTTGCTTTTGGTTTTGGTTTTTTTTTTTGTTTTTTGGTTTGGTTTGGTTTTGCTTTTATGATAGACTATGGCAGTTTGTTTTCTTCTTTCTTTTTTTTCTTTTTGGTTTTTCAAGGCAGGGTTTCTCTGTGTAGCCCTGGCTGTCCTGGAACTCACTCTGTAGATCAGTCTGGCCTCAAACTCAGACATCTGTCTGCCTCTGCCTCCCAATCGCTAGGATTAAAGGCATGCCCTACTACCACTATGACAGTTTCAGAAGAATTTTCCTTTAAAAATTCTGTTTTCCTACCTCATCTTTTCTTTTTTTCCTTACCAAACTTTTCAAAAGAATTATCCATGGGGCTGGAGAGATGGCCAAGCTGTTAAGAACACTTCTTCTTGCAGAGGACCCCAGCGCTATTCCCAGAATCTACCCGGTGGCCTACATAGCTACATTTCCAGAAGATATGACACCCCTTCTGACATCTGCAAGCACCAGACATGCACATTGTAAACCCACAAATGCACACATAGCAAAACACTCATACACATAAAGTAAGTCTTTAAGAAATTAAAAAGGAAGAGTTCGTATTTCACTGAGCAGAAATAGAAAAACTGTCACGTTAAAAGAAATGACCTTGGCCAGGCGGCTGCGGTGGCACACACCTTTAATCCCAGTGCTTGGGAGACAAAGGCAGACAGATTCTCTGAGTTCAAGGCCAGCCTGGTCTACAGATTGAGTTCCAGGACAGCCAGGGCTACACAGAGAAACCCTTTCTTAAAATCTTACCCCATCAAAAAGAGAGGGGAGACGGAGTTGGAGATAGGAGGGGTGGCCCAGGCTTTTAACCCCAGCCAGCACTCAGGAGGCAGAGGCAGGTGGATAGATCTCTGAGTCTGAGGGCAGCCTGTTCTACATAGTTTCTGGATAGCCAGGGCTAAAGAAAGACCCTACCTCAAAACTAACAGAGTTTGGAGACTGGAGCTGGCTCATGGTGAAAAGGACTCCTGTTCCCTTTCTTAGCACCCTGTAGGGAGTCTCATTACTGTATGTAACTTCAGCTCCAGGGGATCCAATGCCCTCTTCTGGCCTCTGCAGGTGCCTGTACTCCCAGGTACATCACCTTCCCCCTCAGACACACATATATGTAATTTATTTATTTATTTATTTATTTATTTTTGGTTTTTCGAGACAGGGTTTCTCTGGGTAGCCCTGGCTGTCCTGGAACTCACTCTGTAGACCAGGCTGACCTCGAACTCAGAAATCTGCCTGCCTCTGCCTCCCAAGTGCTGGGATTAAAAACGTGAGTCACCACCGCCCGGCAAAATGTTTTTTTTTGTTTGTTTTTGTTTTTTTTTTAAATGAGAGTTTACAAAGTTTCTTAATTTATTTATTTGAGATAGATTTTCTCTATGTAGTCCTGGCTGTCCTGGAACAAGCTATATCGACCAGGCTCAGAGATCTTGTTTACAGAAAGCTCTTGGATTAAAGGTATGAGCCCCACCACCAGAAAAAATAGATTTTTTTCCCCAGTAAATAACACAATCTTGGGGTTCACAGTGTGATCAAATATCTTGCCTTCACATCTCCACGGTTGGCGCTCTGGGGTCACCCTCTGCTCATAGGTACTGCATGGTCTAGCTCCCCACCCTCTTTCTTCCTTATCAGGCAGTGGGATACTCATTGAAATCTTTTCAGACCTCTAGAGACATCTGCTCAGTCTAGGCCAGTCAGCGTGGCTACTTAGTAATTCCTAAGTAACAGTAGCAGTGCAGATGGTCTCCCTGCCTTACCACGGCAGCTGTGTTCTACTGATACTCTCCGTTGAGTCAGTGGTGAGCCGGCCACTGATCATTGCTGACAACTGGGGGATCCAGTTGGAAAAGGCTTCAAAGTAGGCACTAGGAGATGGCTCAGTGTGGAAGAGCTGTGGGCCGGAGAAGAGAACCAATCTCCTGAAAGTTGATCTCTACACTCCTGCCAGGGTACATATACCTCCTAGACACGCCCCCACACCCCCACCACTGTTGTAGGATATTTGATCATACTGCGAACCCTGAGATGGTGTTGTTTACTGGGAAAACCTGTTTTTAGTGGTGGTGTGGCTCACACGTCTAATCCATGAGTAAACAGGATTAAATAAAGTCAACCGTAGGTCAGGAGGCAGCACAAGCAACCAACCGGTTGACAGGAAGTGAACATAGGATTATTAAGAAAAAAAACCAGAGGGAGTAAGAGGAAGTCAGGAGGGAGAGAGAGATGGTCAGGGAGTAGGAAGAAGGGACATTGAGTGTGAAGGAAGTGTTTTGAGGTCGTGTGAGAGGGGAGTCATTGCTTCAGGGATGATGGCTGAGGAGGAAGATCAGCTGGGTGCTTTCTCTGCTTCTCTGAGCCAGCAGGCTTTGACTGAGCATCTGGGCCCAAGTTTTCATTGATAAAATCGTAAGGATTGAGATAGTGTTAAAACACAACCACCACCACCACATTTTGGACTGGAGAGATGGATCAGCAGTTAAGGATAAGAGCACTTGGTATTCTTGTGTTGGTGGTAGGATTTTTTGAGACAGGGTCTCTCTGTGTGTAGCTCTGGCTGTCTT